CTTGGCCCAGTGGAAGGGCTCCCCCTCACCGCCTGCCTGCCTGCCCCACGGGGCGGCAGAGGAACTGTTGACTAGAAACATGGCTTGAAACCACAGGGCAAGCATAAAACCTTTCTGGACTTCTCCTATTTTATCTTTAAAGTTTGTCGGCATTTTGCCTTTTACTATAACATATGCCATCACTGTTTTAATACAAAATGTTATTTCAAACATCTGGATAGCACCTGTACTCCTCTAAGAAGGCATCTTCTTTACCCTGTGGTTTTGCACCCCAACACATTCTGGCCACCCATGCCGGTACCCAGGGTAGAAGGATCCCACTTTTTAAAAGCAACAGGTCAAGCCAATAAGCTGCATCCTTGCTGCCTTTTCTAGTGGGGGTAACTTAGATAGGAACTTTCATGGACCCTGAGTCTGGGGGACACTCCAGTGGTGACAGACAATGCGCATTCACAAAGATCATCTTTTTCTCTGAGGCCCTGTCCCCAAGGGCAAGAAGCTGAGTATGGTAAAGGGTCCCTGTGGAAACTGCAGAGAGACCTACTCTCTTGTCTAGGGGTTAACCAATTTGTCACGGTCTACAAAGGAAAAGGACAGATGCATCCCAACTCCTATCCCACCCATCAAGACTTCGATCCCAGGGAGGCCAGTCTGCACCTCCACTCACTTCCTCCACCTTTGGGCTCCACAAGCCTCAGGGAAGGACAGTCACTTCGACTGAACAGAGAGGCCATGGCAGGACTCTACAGATGATGACCTGGAGGCTCAGGGACGGACAGTCAGAGTTCCTCAGTGGCAAAGCTGGCCACACCTCTCCTAATGGATGCTTTCCTGTGTAGCACCTGCATCTTACTACCAAAGGACCAGCTCCCTAGAGACAGGGCCTGAGTTTTCTGTGTCTCCCCCATCCTCTCCACCCTGGCATCCAGCTGGGCCTGTCAGGTGCCCTCACATGCTTGCTGAGCTTAATCACTATCAGTAGCTCTTGGGTCCTGAAGACCCGGGTCCCTGCCCATTGGCTGATTTCTGGGGATTCAGACTTTCTGAAAACCCTGCCCAGGGGAAACCCCCACCGCTCGGCCTGTCCTTCCGTCTGCCTCTCTGCACCAGGCCTGAGAAAGACACAGCCTCAAACAGCAGCTTCCAACCCATGGGGCCAGCCTCAGGTCTCCTCCTGAACTGTCCTTCATACCCAGGCCAGGCCAATGGGTTGGCAGAAAACTGTCAGTCCCTTGGCCACTGCTGGGGGGGGGAGGGATCAGCTGGTGTACCCCACTCACCCACATTCCCTGCCTTTGCTTAGGTCACTGAACCAGGCTGGAAGGCCTCCTCTTTTTCCTTCGACCTCAGGGTCCTTCCAGGGAGGATCAAGCCAGGAATTCCCATCTTAGCAAATTAAGGAGAAAGGTCTGTGGCAGTAGTTCTCAAACCTGGTTTCCAACAAAAGGGCTTCGAAAAAAGTACAGGGACCTGGGGCCCCCACTCCAGACCATTTAAGTCAGAACTTCTGGGGGTGAGGTAGGATGGGGGCCTGGTATTAGTATTTAAAAGAATAGCCTTCGTGATTCCATCAGATTCGCAGAGATAGGACCCACGAAGTGGTAAGCACCAATACTAGTTATGCGATCTGGTCGGACAAGCCAGGCCAGAAACCCAAGGCCACAGCATGGTTTATATACTAGTACCCCCTTCCCAGGACAGGCTAAACCCTTCCCTTCCTTCAGGGCTGGCCTGCCGATTTAAGCCCTAAGGGACACATCTCAGCTTTGTTGGGATCCCGCAGGCAGGCAGAGCTGAGGAAGGGAGCAGCCTGTGTCCTTGGGGTCAACTGTACCTTTCTCCTCTACTGCCAAAGGGGATCCTGCAGCCGACTTCAGACTTGGTACACTTCCACCGAAAATCCATTTTCCCAGGAACCCCTGGGCCTGTCCCTTCAGCTCCATTATTGAGGCCTGTATTCCCCCACCCCTTCTTTCACTCTGGCCAAGGGAGACCACTGACTGTTTAAAGGCCAGAAGGGAAGCTGGGCCTCCAGGCCTCAGCCCTGTCCAGGGTCCTGACTGCTGGTCAGAGCACTTTTTTCCAGCCCTGCAGCACCTTACTCTGGTATAGAGGGGACCCCTAGATTTATACCTTCAGGAGCACTGAGAAGGGCGGCCCCTGGCAGGTCATCACAGGGGCAGCCGCTGGTCTGGCGTAGACCCAAGCCCAGCCCTTACTGTGGCTTTTGGCTTCACTATGTGCTGGTGCTGCTGCTAAGCTAAGAACTCCTGGTTATCAAATCCCCCATGCCATCACTGTCCACACTGAGAAATGAAGAGACAAAGGGAACCATGGGCTCCCCAGCAGGGACGGGACTGCACCATGCACATCAATTTACAAGCATTCTGGCTGGGATCTTGGGTCAGACTGAAAACATACTGTATGACCCGCCTGAGAGCCACCCCACAGATATATTACTGCAGGGGACTGGACAGATGGGACTCACAAATCCCCTTCCACCAAGGTGACCAAAGCTCTCTGCCCTTAGGCCCTATAGACTGTAAAGGGCCTCCTCTTTAACCCCTCACAGAGAGAGAGGGGAATAGCCCGGTGAGGAGATTTAGTGCAAACATCATCTGCCGCCAAATCCTTGCTTTTCATCTCCGCCTTCTCATGAGCCAAATAATTTGGAAGCTTTCATTGATGGTTTCCTCTCGGCCCCATGATCACTTGGAATTTATGCCGGCTATGGTTCAGCCTCCTCACTTAGGGGACGAGGGAAACCTCACAGGCTGCACTCCAGCCTGCTGTGGAAGGAAAAACTTGTCCTTGGTGACAGTTCAAGGCAGGGAGGGCTTCCTCAGCCCTCCAGGAGCCCAGGACTTGAGGGCAGATGTCTTCAGTCAGGCCTCAGAGCTGCCTGCAGAGGCCCCGGGGCTCAAACCCAGGGATACACTAAACCAGTCCCCAGCAGAGCTGGGCATCGGCACCCCTACAAAGATGTGATTCTATTTTTAGGTGGAGAAAGGTTCAAAGGCTCTGTGCTGGAAAACCCAAGAGGGAGGGGAATTTTTAGCCTCATGCAAATCACTCTTTCCCCTCAGCCTTCACTGACACCTGTTTCCTCCCAGCCCCTGGCCTATCCAGGGTACAGATGGCAGCCCTGCCCTTGGGATTGCTACCTTGAGAAACGGCCCCACCTCCTCCTGGTGCTTGGAGAAAGCAGGGCAGGAGGGTTGGGGGAACCAGCCATCCCCAGCAGCTCCCCAGAACTACCCACTCTTCTCCAACCTGAATAGCCACAGTGGGCAGGGGCAGGTTGAATTCTGAGGCAGGTTCCTCATCTCCAAAAAGGGCAGAGAATTCCTGCCTCCTAGGTACAGGAAAGGAACATAAAAGTGGCTATTGTTTTACTAATGCAACTATAGTAACTGGGGAGCCCTAGTGGCTCTATGTTTGGGGTAAGAGGGCAAGAGGGGAGCGAGGGTACAAGAGAAGAGAGGCGGTCCTAGAGGCTCCCAGAGTCCTACAGCACACTCTGCCTCCTGCATCCCAGTGCCCCTGAGCACATCCATCTACCCACTAAGCAGAGCTGATACAAGAGGGCGCTAAGAACTTCAAAACAGCATCCCCCATGCCCACCTAATTCTCCGCTTTCATCCCAGTCCTTACTGCATTCCCAGAGGCATCTCTTTCCATCTTTACCCCTCTCCCATGGGGCCAAAGGAGGACACTAGGTTGGGGGATGGGGATGGGAGGCATCAGGTCCCAACCCCCACCCTACACACACAAAAAAGAGAGTCCTAGGGTAGGCCAGCTCGAGGAGTTTTTTTTCCAAATGCAAGATTCTAAAAGGAAGATGCCCCCACTATCCCCAAGGGACAGGTTAACTACTGCTGCTCAGGACTGCCCCCGAAGCCATGATTGCTTCTGCAGTTAGTGGGCAGCGGGGCTCCAGGCTCAGAACAAAGATACCCTCCCTGACTCCACTTCAAGGGCTATGCACCAAGACTCTGGGCCTTCCCACCCTTGGCAATGTTGGCCTCAAGAGCTTCAGGTCTTGGCTATACAACCCTGGGATCCTCTATTTCCTCATTGTAACAGATAGACTGAGAAGGATTAAAAAAGTGAAATGTCTAGCCCAGCTTCTGGCTATGCTGCAGGGCCAGATTCAAACCCCCTATTCTTGGGGGGCTCAATGCTCTTGCGACTGCATCTGTGCAAAGGGCCTCTTCTGTGCCCAGTGCAATGCACTGAGGACCTGAGAGACTGTGACGTGGTCCTAGGATGTGATTTTTCAGGGGCCACAAGAAGCAGGATCATGATGTCCATTCATGTCCAACACTACCCACCCCCGGTGCTCTTTTCCACAGCTTGAGAAGGCATGCATACCTACCTCCACCTGCCATAAGAAACATCCCAGGCCCAAGTACGGAAGGCTTAGGATGCAGATACACGGGACACGGGCAGAAGGAGCAGATGACTTAATTGGATGATCCTGAGGACCCCAGCCCTCATCCCCATATCAGCACCTCCTGGTGCCCTTGGCTTATCCTCTGGAACATTCCAAATCTGACTGCTTCCTCTTCTACTGCCACTACTTGGCTGTCAGCCACCATGGCTTCTCTCCTGGACAACTGCAGGAAAGTCCTCCCGGCTCCCACCCCTGACCACATTTTCCTTTCTCCTCACGGCAGCCAGTGGGGCCTTTTGTGAACACGTCAGACTCTGTCATTACCCTGCTTATGATCCTTGAAAGGCCTCTACTCTCACTCAGCTCAACTGGAACATCTTTACAACAACCTACACGGCTACTGTTGGCACACGCATCCCCTTCTCCCATTCATGGCACTTAGCCACACTGGCCTGGCTCTGCAGGGCCTGTTCTCTCTGCGGGGGGAAGGCTCCCCCCAACCCCACACATCTACAGCATTCCCTCCCTCACTCTCCACAGCTGTCCGCTCCTGTCACTTCCTCACCACCGACTCCTCTTTGTCTAGACACTCATCACTACCCACCTCTGAAGGCTTCTTTTCGTTCTGCCGGGGCCAGCCCGACTTGGTGCTGCTGGGCAGTTTGGAGCATCGTGAAGCAGATGTAGCGTGACCTGCAGAGAGAGCACAGCCCATTAGGGGCCCCTGGAAGGCCAGAGACACCACCCACCTACCCACCCCTGACCAGGGACAGGAAGCCTGTAAGGAAGGCTCTGACTTGCATGTTCAGGAGATGGAAACCTCTGTGAGCCCCTGTCCCTGCTCTGGACCTCTCCAAGGACGCGTGGGGACGTGAGTGCTTCCGCCGCTCACCAAGCGCAGTGGCTTAGGAAATAAAAGGCAGTGACCTAGACTCACGATTAGCTTACTCTGTGATCCTTTACAGGTCCCTTGCCCTCTCTGATCCTCTGCTTATTCCTTGGGGAAGGAGGCCATCTGTGGCCACACTTCATTCCTGCCCTGGGTGGGGATAGCTGGAGACACCATCCTATCTGGGATGATGCCTATCCTTGGGGAAGGAGGCCATCTGTGGCCACACTTCATTCCTGCCCTGGGTGGGGATAGCTGGAGACACCATCCTATCTGGGATGATGCCTAGTTGATACGCAGAGGCACGAAAGGACAGTAGGAAGAATGCTGCTCTAAATTAAACCCATGGGGCGCCTGGGTGGCTCAGTGGGTTAAAGCCTCTGCCTTCGGCTCGGGTCATGATTCCAGGGTCCTGGGACTGAGCCCTGCATTGGGCTCTCTGCTCAGCAGGGAGCCTGCTTCCTCCTCTCTCTCTGCCTTCCTCTCTGCCTACTTGTGATCTCTGTCAAATAAATAAAATAAAATCTTAAAAAAAATAAATAAATAAAAATAAAGTAAACCCATTTGCTAGTTTGTCACCCTGGGCAAATGACTTAACCTCGCCGGGGCAAAAAGCTGTGAGAATTCAGTGATGCCATGCCTCTTAAGGCTTAGCAGAGTCCCCTGCCCAGAGCATGGCTCAATAAACATGAGCTATTACCACTAGAGTCCGAGGTCCTTCCTTACTGGACCGCAGGACTACAGCCTTTACCCAGTGGGTCCAAGGGGCAGCAGCCACGAGTGGGCACAGGGTACAGGGGTGGGGGCTGGTGGGAAGGGACTAAGCCACAATCCAGCCCAACTCTACTGCAGCTGCCCAGACCCCCACTCCTGTAGGTGCCTGGCCCTCAGGGGTTCCCGTGCCTGACTGAAGTTAGAAGCAAAGGATGCGGTTCTTCTTGGCTCTGCTGAGACAAGCCACAGGCAATGTGGTTGCGGCCACAGAGGGCGGGACGCTGTGATCTCCTGCCACAGGGAGGAAGGGCTGGCCAGGTTAGACACCAGAGCCGAGCTGAGCAAACAGACTCTAAAGGGCAATGAATGAGACCTGGAGGTAGGGAAGGGGCTGGGACTGACTGGCCGTCTTGGTGTCTGTCCTCAGGATCTTGGGGGGCTATCCCCAGCTGCTCAGCACATTCGTGAACAAACTAAGGTGTAGAGCTGCAGGGCTCCAGGCCCAGCCTCCTTGGCAATGAGTTCAGCCTCTTCCTCCGTGTGGGTTCCCACGAGGCTGCAGGGAGTTGGCAGTGTACCTCTCCTACATAGGGCACAACAGAACTCCTTACTAGACCAGCTCACGCAGGGCAGGTTCCTGAGGCATCTGGGAAGAGCTGCCTTCTGGTATTAGAGAAAAGCTCCCACCTTCCGCAAACCTCCCTTATCTCCCCCCACATTTGAGAAGGGGCTCCCTAAGCCTCTTTTCTCCTTGACCATCCCTGTGACCCCCAAGTCATCCAGCTGCCACACAGCCCATAGACAAGTCTACCTCTCAGATTCTCCTGCCAAGATCCCTTGTTAATTCCATTGACAAACATTTACTGAATACCTATTATGTACCTGCTCTAACTGGGGACACAGCAATGAGCCAGACATGACCCCTCTTATCAAGGAGCTTACCGCTAATTAAGAAATGATACTTCTATCAGGTAATTATAATAAAACTTAACAGGTTTTCTGTCTGTTGAGCAGAGACTTTCAACAGGGTCCTGATCTAACATTAAGGGCCAGAGGGAGAGGGATGTGCCCCTAGCAGCCAGGAGCAGCAAATGCAAAGAAATAGAGGGGAGATGATCTTTTCCAACCAGAGCAAAACACGTGGGATTGAGACCTAGGGGGTAGAGGGGAGTAGGGTGAAGAAGACAGCAAGGGTCTAGAGGCCACACATGTGTGCGACTTTCTCAGGAGTAAGTACAAGGACCTGGCCTGATTAACGCTTTCATCAACAACGCTTTCATCAGAATACTGAGACCATGGGGCAGCCTCCCCCCATTTGGGCCTGTGGGCCTGATATTTACTCAAATGCTTTCCTTGCAGGAGCCCCAAATGGAAGGCCTTACTGTCAGTGGTGTCAGAGTTGTCGCTGCTGATGGAGTATTTTCGCCTCTTCTCTTCCATCTGCAACAAAAGGCAGGCTCCATTACACTTATAGGAGGCTTGGGAAATCCTCAGTCTCTCAGAAAACTGCCCAATAACCTACCTCCCCATACTCACCCTGCTGCAGTTAAGAACAAGAACAAGGCCCTCTTGCCCTAGCCTTCTCCCAGCCAGCCTCACCCTCTCTCCCAAGCCACCCACAGGAGCCCTGGGAGTGGGACAGAGGGCTGCATCTCCCACCTCCTGAATCCAGAGCCCCAAGATGAGCAGGAGTCCAGCCAAAGATGACAGAAGGAGGGCAAGGGAGTCAGTGGCCCCAGAACAATGATTAGGGCCTGCTCAGCCCTAGCTTCCGCTCAAGGCAACTCAGGTCGTCCAGAGAATCCACTCCCACCCTAGAGGAGATGCAGAAAGGGGAAACAAGACTGATTCTTCCAGAGGGACCATGCCACCTGAGTTTAGAGACAAGCCAGCTCAGATAGCACTGAAGGAACATTCGGAGGGTGGTGGCCAGAGGGGTGTGGAAAGGACATAGGAGGAGGGACGCTCCAAGCTGGGTTCCTGAGACACGCCCGGCCCAGGGGGACTGGTCCTAGGCTGGGCTGCCCTCCTTCAAGCAATGTCCTTCTCCAGATAATAACATTAACCACCTTTATCTCAACTACAGGATTTTATTTCAAGGTAGGATGAGCAGCTCCCCATACTGAACTCCTTCCTCTAACAACACTGGCTCTGCTCATGATCTTAACACCCCCAGAAGCTCCAAGCCATTGGCTTCCCTGACTACCGAGGCACAGGGCCTTGTCCGACTCCAACTGGCTGAACTGGGATTTGAATCCATGTGGTCTTAATGCCTGAGCCCACACTGAGCTGCCTTTGTGCCAGGGTCAACTCTTGCCTGTGGGGAGCGCTTTCCCACCCACTATTTCCTTGGATCCCACAGAGTCCAGGGTGGCAGGGCTTGCTTTTGTCTCTTCTTGGAGGGGAGCACCCCAAGGGGCTTGTTCACCACCCTGCGTCTCACAGCTAGTCAGTAGCTGAGTCCTAATGCGAGAACAGATCTGGGATTCAGGACCCATAGCATTTTCCAATCACTTTCCTGTTTGTCTGGAACCTGGGCCACCTCACTGCCCGAAGCAAAGGGCAAGGAGCCAGTGTCAGTCAAGAGAAGTCCTGCTGCTCAGTCCAGCTGCTGGCCAACCGGGGTCCCCACCTCTGCTTGGGATCCCATGGGGCGCCTGTCACTGCCACCCACTCCAACAAGTCTGTTTGCGCCGAGCCCTGGGTTTCCCCTTATATCCTGGTGACCCTGCAGAGACAAAGGAACATCAGCTCTTTAAGGTGGGGCATGACCATCCAGACCTCTGGGCCAACCAGGACCCTCCGGACTCAGACCTGACCTCAGCCAAGACATTCTCCCCACTCCAGTGTCCCCTAACAGCAGGATTAGGATGATGGAAAGATTCCCTTGGGCTGCTCACTGTCAGCTCCACGGGGGCAGGCAGAGCCTGAGGCAACCAGCATCGTGAGTGCCAGGGATGTAAATTGCTAAACACTGTGGCAGAAAGAGGAAGATGCCTTGGTACACAGGGACCTCATGAAACCCTCACAGCAGCCCCTCTATGCCAGTGGGCATGATGGCTGCTTCCCTTTTGCAGATGAGGAAAAGGAAGCACAGAGGTTAAATGACTTGCTCAAGATCACAGTGCTTATAAGAAGTTTATCTGGTTCAGGAGCACATGCTCTTTGACCTTCAGACTTCTCTGCCTCTGCCCAACAGAGTACAAGCAGTCCCATGGCCCAGGTTGTGGATTGAATGGAACAATAATGCTCTGCTACCCACAGCTTCCATCCTTGCTCTCCTCCAGCATCTGAGTGTGACAAAGATGACTTTGACAGGGCCCTGAGCCTAGCCTGCCTCTTACCAGCCCAGCACTCTCACAGGTGGGGGCAGCAGCAGGAGATGTGCTGTAACTGCGTCCACTTGTTCTTTCCTGCAATCCTGCCCGTGGATCCCAGGTGCCTCCACTTCTGGGCCCACATCTCCCAAAGAAGAAAAGAAACTCTGGATTTGGGTTGTGAAGTTCAAATTCTAACTCTACTCCTTTACAGACCTGGGATCTTGGGAAAGATGTACCTCCCAGACGACAAGGATTCGATCTGGATTTTCACATAAGTCTCCTGAACTTCCAATGTTGGCAACTGCTTCAGAATTTAAAAAACACTTTGAGAGGGCCAAACTAAACACATCCATGGGCCAGAATCGGCTGGTAAGAATAAACGAGAGCAGCGTTGAGCCCTGAGAGTGGTGGCTGGCTCTCCACATAGGTGCTAGTCATTCTGTGATAATCTGGGGCCAGGTGAGGAGTCCTCCTAGCCACACCCCCTCACCCAGGGGCGCCTACACTGTAAGTGAGACCACCTGGGACAGGACCCTCTGACGGCCAATGCCCTTCTGGTAATGTTGTTTCCTGCTGCCCAGGGACCTATCACAGTGACTTGCAGCATGCAGACCTGCACCCCACCCTCAGCCAGCTCCCTGTCCAACCTGTCCTCTGTGAAAACACCCCAGAGTTCTCCTGGATAGGGTGTTATTAAAGGAGCAGATTGTGTGTGGCTTAATTGGAATAATAACCAGGCTTCAGAGGGAAGCTACTGTTTTGTGAGTGAAGCTTCTCCTTTGAACCAGGTCTGTTCCAAAGGCCTCCATGCCTCAGGTGAGTCTCCACTGTCAGTGGCTAATGAAGTGCCAAAGAAGGCCTGGGCTCTCCCGTGGGACAGCCCTTTATCCCCGGAACCCCCATTCCAACACAACTAGGAGACAGGGAGGACTCCTTCACCAAAGCCAAAATCCAGGCCAGGGGGGTGGGTGCTGACACTTGGGTCTTGGCCTCTAGTTTCCTCTCTCCACTGGCCCCTCCAATCTCTCCCAAAGCAAGGTCTGCTCTGGGAGAACACCCCAGTGTCCTAAGGCACTTACTTGTGAGGGTAGAAATGCTTTTGAAGCCCTACCTATAAAGGAGAGTCTAGGAGAGCAAGGGTCCCCTTTTCCTCCCCTTGGCACCTCCCACACCATCCCCAGCACAGAGACACAGAGACGCAGCTCTCCTCTGAGCATGGTGTCCTAGGGGTCCTTCAGTGCAGCAGCCCCACGGCCTCTCTGTGCAATCTCTGCCCCACAGCCAACCCCTGACAAGTCCAGTGGGCTCTCCCTCCAGAACTTACGCTGAATGCATCCATTTGTCCCTGCCTGTCTACTGCTACCACCCTGGCCCAAACCAGTCCCATCTCTTGCCTGGACTTCGCATTCATCTCCCAGCTCCCGCTATCGCTCCTCCCCTATCTAGAATCCACAGAGCAGCCAGAGTGACCTTTAAAAAAACATAAATCAGATCATGTCATACCCCCTTTTTAAAATCTTTCAAAGGCTTCCTGCTGATCAAAGGATAAAACTCAAACTCTTGACCACAATATCCTACATGATCCGGCCCCTCCCTACCTCGGCAAGTTCACAGGGCCCACTATCCCCTTCCTCACGGCTTCTAGCTACACTGGTCTCCTTTCATCTCCGGAAAGAAGCCACATATTCCATGCTTTGGGACCTATGCACAGATGTGCTCTCTGCCTGGAAGATTCTATGTAGTGCGTACATGTCTGATGTTTTATCCTTCACATTTCAGCTTAAATGTCAAGGAGGTCTACGCCCGCTACCTTATGTAAAGAGAGCCCACAACGCCGTTAGTCAACATCTTCAGAGCCTCCACCACAATTGCAGTCTGGTGATCTACTTGTTGAATGCCTTCCTCCTTGGAGAGGAGAGTGAGGAGCACCATCTGTCTGGATCTCCGTGGGAGCCCCGATGGCCCCTTATGTTATCCCCAGCACACAACACGGGCTTGGTACCCAGGGAGTGTGGAGTATGTTCTTGTCCCCTCCCTCTAGAAGTGTGGGGAGCACAGAGCCCAGCTGGCCGGCCTGCCGCTTGCAGGAACAAACACCCCAGGCCAAGATTTTGTCCTGTTTTCACAGCCTGCCTTCCCCATCTTAACCTCACACATTTTCCAGGAGGCTTTATTTGGTTGGGCTCCTGGCTAATGATCAATGTCAACTCAGTAACAGGGCACCAACTTGGTGGCAGATGTTTTCTTGGCAGCACTAGCCGCTGGTCTAAGTGGGGGCCTTGGGTCTGGACTTGAAACACCAATGCCCAATGCCAGCCCCCTTTAAAGACCTCTCCGCAAATAAACTCAAACACCCTGGGCCTCCATTAACGCTCTTCCAGCTGACCCTGGGAACAGTGGGCCTTTCAGCTCCACTAGTGCAGCAGCTCCCTGGGCAGTTAAAACACCCCAACCTGGCCTCCGGCCTCTCCTCCCCGGGGGCCACCAGGCCTGCCCTGCCCGCCACCACACACAGCAGGACTCCGTCTTCCTCCTTAAAAAAGGTAAAGGGGGGAATGGCTTTCAAGCAGGCAATTTACCATTCCAGACACAATCTTTCAAAGAGAAACAAAAACTCTCCCTGTCTGAGGCAGACCGCTTAGGCGTGTGTGTAATAAGATGCTAATACAATTTAATGATATTTCGGCTGGAAAACCTGTCCTCAGAGCCTCCTTGTGTCGGGAAGGCCAGACATTCAGAAAACAAGAACTGCATGCTCTTAAACCGCTTTAAGCGGGGGTCAGAGCCCCGCTCTTTCCTATCTCTCATTAACTTTAATGCCTTCTCGGGGACAGTAATTGCTATTACAGAAAAGATTTTATACACACAGATCCTCAAACTTGCTTCTCTGAGCATAGGGGAGCCTTAGCCCTCCTCCAACACTCATCATGGCCCACCTGCAATTCCAAGTGTCCCAGAGGGTACCCAGCTCCCTTGAAACATGCTGCCCACACTCACCCCCCAAACCCAGTTCTGGGGACATACCTAGGGGATCCTGGAAGAATGAAAGGGGCTTTGTCTACTTTGTCCTTCTGCACCTTCTCACCCTACCCTCCACCTTAGAGAGGGCAAAGCTCAGTCCGCTCGCTCCCACAGACGGCTGCCCATTGGCCACTGCAGGGTCCTTCGGAGCCCTTCTTCAGGGAAGGGAGCTGGCTCTCTGGCCTAGCCTAAAGGGGAGAGATCAAAGGTCAAAGCTATATCTGGGCCCTCTCCAGATCATTAATAATAGTAAAAATGGCCAATACTAATCAAGTGCTTACCACATGCCTGGCTTTGGGTTTAATCTTCTTTATGCAATATATTGCTCAATCCATACACCAATCATGGGGTAGGGACTGTTATTAACCCCACTTGCAGATGAAGAAAGTGAGGAACAAAGCAACTGTCACAGCTGGTGACTGCAAAGCTATAGCATTCAAATACAGGTTATCTGACTGCCAGGTGGTATACCCTGCCCCCCACCCCGCCCCACCACCTCCCGCTGGTACTCAGGTCTGTTGTAGCCCAGAGTGTGGCTGGGGTACCCCAGATTCCTATGGGTTATCTGAGAACCTTTCTGGGTTCCTAAACTTTGAGCCACACAGTCAGGGTCCTATGTGGATGGAAGACAAAGCAGGGCAGGGGTAACTCCTCCCCACAATCCTGACCTTGCCCTGGAGCACCTAAAGGTAGAACTAACTGTGAGGTCTGCGAAGAGCTTGCTGGATGAGTTGTGAAGAATTTGGACTGGAAGTCACTGAACCGGGTCTTGGGTATAAGATAACCTCCTCCCTGTCACCAGCAACTCCAGTTAGCCAGAACACCCAGCTCGCACCCCCCCACCAGTGCTACCTCAAAGATGTGGTAGTCAGTGTCAAAGGCCTACTCTCAAAATTCTGGGGTGCACCTTGGGGGCTGGGACCAGCAGTCCCACCTCACCTGCCAATGAAAGCCAAGTGGAAGCTCTCTTGGATTAGTGTTACTGGCCATTTAGCTGAGCAATTTAGGCAAAGGAAAAGCATGCTGGATGGGAAATGTTCTGGAAACATTGCTGCATCCCAAGTCCAAACAACTTTGTCCTTAAACACTTCATGTCCAAAAGTGCTGGAGAGACCTTTGGCCAAACAGTTTCAAAACTAACATTCAGTGCAAGGCTTGCTGCCTGGGGCAAGGACTTCCCTCTGTGAGGGATTTGCTGTAGAACCAAATGCTTTTCCACTCCAAACACCCAACAGCACTTGGGACAACGCTGAGGACTCCAGATCAAACAAACATCCCCTTTTTTCCCCTACCATGCAAACTTTCTCAATAAATTATTCGCCCACTTCGGATCAAAGCCTGTTTTGCAGCCTGTGACCTAAAAAGCAAATAGCGTCTCTTAAACATGAAAGCCCTCCTCCCTGCCTGGGTCCACTTTATTACTCATTCCTTCCCCTTACAGTTATTCTGTTGTTATTTTCCTCCTCTGCTTGTTAGATCGCTTTGCAAGTCCCAACCCGCCTGAGGAAGAAGAGACGGGAGGGATGGTTCGTTCACTTGGGGCCCTAAGGTGAGAGAGGAAGTCAGGGTAGGGGAGAAGCCAGCACCCTGGGAACCCAGGAAACAGGGCCAGGCCCGGTTGGCAGCTCCTTGCACGGCCCCTTTGCCAAATGTCCTACTGGGAATTTTACCAGTAAAGGGAGGGAGTTAATGCCACTGTGAGAGGAGGGGCCAGGCAGCCGTACCACCACCTGGGCCCCTGATTGTTTGCAAACAGAAACGTTAAGGGGACATCCTGACGGCCAGTCTAGGCTCAAAACTCAGGGCTCCTCCCCTTTCCAACAAAGGAAAGGCGGCTGGCCAGTCCTGCCCTTTCAGCCCCTCCCCAATCCTCTTCAGCGCCGCTGTGAGTGCAGACAAGGAGCCTCCCTATAACCCCCTACAAAACTCAGCCTCTGGGTAAAACTTTATGTTCCGCAGTGGATGAGCGAGGGGTGCTAAGCGCGGGAGCAAAGTCTGGAAATCTGCAGAGACCAGAGTCGCCCGGCGCAGCATGCCCTTGGCTCAGGGCACAGGGAAACACGGTCCCTCCCGCCCCCAACAGCCCCTGGCACAAGAGACCTGCAGCCAAGGTGGTTAAAAAAAAGCGTCCTGGGCCGCGGTTGAGGCTACGGAGATTGGGAGGAGGGGTGGCGCGTGCCTCCAGCCTGCCCCTGGAGGCAGTCCGCGGGACCGCAGGCTGAAGGCGCGCCGGCGTGATTCCGACCGCGGGAGCCGGGAGGAGGAGCCGGAGGTGGCTGTGGGGGGCTCCGGCCCAGGCGAAGGAAGGGCAAGAGGCGGTTCGGGCCGGGGGCGGCGGACCTGACGCCTGGGGCGTGGGGAGGGCTTTAGGTGAAGCCGGTAAGAGGAGCCGAGCCTCTAGGGAAGTGGGCAGCTACGTGTGGCGGGGGACTGGTTGTGTGTGGGGTGTCCTGGGCCTCTGGAAGCCACAGCGAAGCCTTCCTGTCTAGCAGACATCCCCACCTTCTGATATAACAGCTACGAGTCGCCAAGCTGACCCCTTCTCATCCCTTGGCCTGGAGACTAGAGTGTCTTTAAGCTCAGGGATAGGCGGGAAGGGACCGGAGGGAGCCACAAGTCTGCAGCCAGGCGGGGAGGAAGCGGGCGGGTGCCGCTCCGCAGGCGCAGGCGAGTGGGTGGGAAGGAGGGAGGGAGAGAGGGAGGAAGGAGGTGAGGCCGGGAAGATGCCACTGCCGGGGGCGGGGCGCGGCCGGGGATCCGGGAGAGGGACTGCAGCGGTGCTTGGTGGGGGCTGGGGCTGCAGTGCCACTTATTTGAGGGTCAGGTGTGTATGTCCCGGGCTGAGACTGCCACTTGCCTACATCTTCCCGGTACCACCCACGGGGCAGAGACGGAGGCGGAGGGCAGGGGACTGCAGTACCGTCCCCGAAGCGGGACGCGAACCGGCAGAGTTGGGAGAAGGTAAACAAGGGCCACGCCCCCTGCCGTCGCCCCGCGGGCGCGCACCCGCCGCTCCGGCCGCAGCCGGTACATTTCCACTCTCCTAGCGCTTCTCCCCCGCCGGTCTCCCGCGCAGCCCCGAAGGGGGGGGGGGCTGCCCCCGACCCCAGCCCCCGCCCGGTACGTCGGGGCTGCACACCCGGCATACTCACCTGGAAAGGGTGTCCCCCGCCCCTCCAAAACACTGTGTTTAATTTGTGCAGAGCCTCCGCGCCCGGGAGCTAAGCATGCTGCCCCCGCGTGCAGCGCCCGCGTGCACCCAACCCAGAGAGGGGGCGACAGGGCGGAGGCGGTGGCCCCCGGAAGGTGTCTGGGACCGGACCGGCTGCACGTGAGCCCAGCGCGGAGTCATGTGCACCGGCTCAGCCCGGTTCGGCGGCCGGACGTGCTGCGTATCAACAAAATGAAACTCAGGGCGACAGGAGGGCAGATAGCTCCAGGTCCTCTGAACGCCCATCCCCGGCGGAACGACCTCCCCACCACTGCTGTCTCCCGCCGCAGACCCTCCGCGCGGCCAGAGCCCGCGGGGCAAGTTGCAGCCCTGGCGCGCCCCCGCCCGCCCGCGCCCCCTCACCGGCCCGGGGGCGCTTTGCCGCAGTCATTAATAAAGAAGGTCGCCAAGCTCACCCTTCCAAAAGTTGTTGTTGCATGCGCCCCTCTCAGCCTCCCCGCAATGTACTCTTTAAAACACGACTGACCAACATGCGCAATCTCTCTCCCCTGTGCTGTGCATCTCCCGCCTCCCCCCCCCCCCGCGCCCTGGCTTCCTAGAACAGGCAGCCAGCAGGAGAGAGAGGGAGCGAGCGAGCAAGAGAGAGAGAGCGAGAGCGAGGGAGCTAGGAGCGCTGGCAGATCTGTTGCAAAAACACAAAATAACGCCGTGGAGATGCGCGGGGCCCATCGCTGGGGGCTGGATCTTACCTTCCTCCACGGTGCCCTTCCGAGGGGCGCTGCCCTGGACTACGCGCCGCAGCGGGGGCCGGCGCGGGAAGGATGCTCCCGAAACCCCGAGCTCCTGGGGCCGGCGCGGGCGGGCGGGGGGCGCGCATCCATCCGGGGTCGCGGTGAGGGAGGCGGCCGGGCCCGCGGCGTCCCCGGCCCCGCACCCTTGCTGGGGACGGTCAGCCCTCTGGACCTAAACCCTTGCCGCTAGGAATGGGCGCAAAGTAACTCCATGGACGCTACTCACCGCCCCCCCCAAAATAGCCTCCAACTGCGATGGCCGCGGTCGGCACCATTCACCAATCCCCCTGTGTATGTTTCTGTTTCTTTTTAAACCAAGACTTCCTTGTGATCTCTTTAGAAAAAAAAAAAAAAAAAAAAGAATGTGTTGGGGGGGGGGGGGGGTGGGGGCGGGCGGGAGGAGCAAGGGAGGGGGAGTAGCCACTTTTTTCTTATTCACTCGGATCTCCACTCCTGACACCCCCAGCCGCCCGCCCCACCCCCCGCCCAGTTGTTTGGCTTCGGAAGCGGGTCCAGGTAGCGTTGCAGGCCTCATGGGGGAGGGTGTTCTGCCGGGCTGCCCGTCTGCCTGCACCTCGGGCCCAGACTCCCCATGGGCTCTGAGGCGCCCCCAGCCCGCCCTGTCCCCAGGGCCGGGCCCGAGCAGCGGCTGCGCCCGTGCAAGTCCCATCAGGTCTGCTCACACTTCACACACTCACACACATACCCCGCCCCTCCACTCTCTCACTCACACTTTCTGCTCACACTCCGCCCCCTTCGCGCCCCAGACCCGGGCGGCGCCCCCCGCAACCTTTAAAAAAAAAAAAAAAGCAAGCTTATACTTAAAAAAATCTTTTGGCGCCATATTAATGACGTACTTAAAATTTGCCATTTCTCCCTGCGTCAAAAAGACGTTTCTTTGCAAATAACAGCCTGAAGGCGACACTCGCGGAGGGAACGAGGTTTGCACTGAGCACCCCGCCTCCCGGGGCTCCAACGCTGGAAGACCCTCGCCCTAGGCCCTGCTCCTGAATCGCTGGTTTAAAAATGCGAATCGAATAAATCGCGTGGCGCTTTGCAGCGCCAGAAGTGAGCAGAAAGTGCTGGCAGGAGCGGAGGGGAGGGGCGCGCGCGCGAGTCTGGGGGAGGGGGCGCGGCCCTCCTCCCCCACCCACGGCAGATGGAAACTAACAACCCGGGCGGGGGGAACTTGAAATTGTGGGCGACCTCAAGAAAGAGGGGCGGTCCGTAGAGAGGGTCCTCTCGGGTTCGTCGCCCCCTCCCCCGCCCGGGTGCCTCCGGGCTCCCAGCTCTGCCCCGCATTTCCGGGGGTTGGGGAACGCAATGATGGGTGGGTGGGTAGCTGCTCGCCCCAGTCCCAGTAGGAGTTTGCCCCACGGTGTCCCCTTCCCCCAACCCCCAGCTCGTCCTTCCCATTACCCCTAAAGGGTTAAAAATCGAGGGGGCAACTTCCAAAGGCTGGCACTGGGCGAGGAAGCGGGGCGCCCCTTTCCCCACCCTTCGCCTCCTCGCCCCTCCTCCTCCGGCTCCACTTCCCGACTTGACCTTGTGGTGCACAAACAGTGCGCTCGGATCCTCGCAGTTTCTGGAAGAAGCGCTTGCGCTCGCCAGGCAGGCGGGCTGTCGGGCGGCTCGCGGGCGGTGGCGGGGCCTTGGGTCGGTTCCCGGAGCCACGGGCCACACCCACCCAACCCGCTGCGCCCGCCGCGCTCACCTTCTCTCGAGGAAGGAGCTGGGCTGGCCTCCTGGGTGGGGTGGGGTGGGGGGCAGCTGCAGCCTTCTCCGGATGCTCCCAGCTGGGGAGGGGGTGGTCTGGTCTCAGGCTGGGTTTGGTGGGGGAGACCTGGGAGCCTGGGTCAACATCCCCAAAGCATCGTTGCCAACTTTTCTTTTCCTCTCCCTTTTGGCTGCCCCTCAGAGATAATACAGTCATTTTTTTTCAACTCACCTTTGGCTTTGACGGCTCGTGGGTGAGTTGTGAACGGGATCAGGAACCGCCTTCCCTCTCCAAGACTGAAGGTTGTTTATTCTTTCCTTCTTTCCCTTCTACCCCCCTTCAGTGGAAAGATAAATATTCAATTTATATAAGATGACATTTATGTGATAATTAAAAAGATCCCCCGATGGAATGTTGTGAACACATTTGCTTATAGGAGAAATAAATCTAATAATAAACAAACTCATAATAACAGCACAAATCCTCTGACAGGGTAAATTGTCTACACAACAAAGAGGGAGATGATGAATGCAGAAATAAGCACTTTTTGCAACAAGAAAGAAATAGGCGCTCAAAGGGAGGCACTGCAACATTTTCTTCCTTGGCCTTCATTCACAAAGTTTGGGGAGGGTTGTCTGGCAAGATTGAGGAACTGGGGTACCACCTCCTAGTTAGACCTGACTCAGGTTCTGAGTGGTCAGTTGTTAGGATTTTCTCAAACCCAAGCTCCATGGCAGAAAACATGACACAGGCTGTTCGCATGTAACAAAATGGTTAACTACCTGAATTCTAATCCTAGGTTTGCAGTTGAGAAGCTACTTGATGTGGACAAGTGCATTCATTTCTCTGGGTCTCTTTCCTCTTCTGTAGAACAGGATGGCTGGAGGGGTCCTGAAGCAGTATGTCTGTATATATGCTGTTTGTGAAAACACAAACACTCCTGGTTCAGAGTGCACATCACACACAAGCATTTTCTCTGGTGCCTAAGTTTTGGAAGGGTGAATGTGCTCCCTGAAAGTTCTTAACACTGAAAAACTGCAGAACAATGATTTCTGTCTTGCTCTCCATGAGAACATAGACAAGATCTCCTAGTTAGGGCAAAAAGAAAGGCCAGGAGAAAAAACTGGGGTACGTGGTGGGCTTCATGGTCAAGGTCCGGATAGCAGTCTCAACCACACATCTGAAGTGGGAATGGAGGCACCCGTTGACAGTGGCACAGCCTAAAGAAACTGCTCTGATCAGGTCTAGTTGCAGAGGGCTAATGTGCACCAAAAGGCTGGACAGGCTCCTCCTCTTAGCGGTCGGGATCCTGTGACCTTGGCAAGTAGTTATAAAATGACCTAGAGAGATAGAAGAGGGAGAAGATGACCGTTTATAGAGCACTTGCTTTGTGCTGTGCACTATGCAACTCATTCCATTTTGTCCTCACAAAAATCTCATTTTACTTATTCAGAAAGGTTTAGTGACTTACCAACAGTCACACAAGCTAGCAAGTGGTTATATAGAATTGGCACCTAGCAGACGATCTCAAAGACTGCCTTTTTTCCATTTTACCATACTGCCAGAAATAAAAAGTATTAGCGTTATTGGTTTCATTGAGGATGGGGGCCTGATTGTCATAATAGCAAGAAAGAATTTTGTGGGTGGCATTTTGCCTCTAAGGTGGTTCACTGACTTTGGGGGAAAGCCAGGTCCCCGAAGGAGTCCTTGGAAGGCACTTCTTGTTTAGGACTGGAAGCTCCATCAGAATTCTTGGATTTCCACTGTTCTCTGCTACTGTTTAAGGTTAACCTTGAAAATGTTAACAGAATAATAGCAATGGAGCTAATTATAACTCCTTAGTCTTTAGTAAAAGTCTCACAAATCATTAACTTACTACAGAAAAAAAAAAAGAAGAAACATAAAGTTCTTGGAGATGTAATCATTCACTTTTGTCAACAAATATTTATTGAGTGCCTCCTGTATACCATGCATCATGCTAGAGGCTAAGGACACAGCACAAAAATGACGCCCTCTCACAGAACTCACTTTCTAGTAGAAAGAAATACACAATTTTAAAAAATAAAATATTATATTTAGGGGCATTTGGGTGGCTCAGTCGGGTAAGCGTCTGCCTTCAGTTCAGGTCATGATTCCAGGGTCCTGGGATTGAGCCCTGCATGGAGCTCCCTGCTCAGCGGGAAGCCTGCTTCTCCCTCACCCACTCACCCACTCCCCCTGCTTGTGTTCCCTCTCCCGCTGTCTCTCTCTGTCAAGTAAATAAATAAAATCTTTAAAAATATATTATATTTGAAGGTGAGTAAATGCTATTCTGAAAAAATTAAGTAGGAAAGGGGGATAGGGAATGTGGTCTTGCAATTTAAATACAGTCCTCAGGGAAGAACTGCCTAAGAATGTGGCTTCTGAATAAAAGGAAAAGAAGGAATGAGCTGGGAGGGCTTATGGGAGAAGAGGGAACATTCTTTTTTTTTTTTTTTTTTAAAGATTTTATTATCTATTTGACAGAGAGAGAGATCACAAGTAGGCAGAGAGGCAGGCAGAGAGAGAGAGGGGGAAGCAGACTCCCCACCAAGCGGAGAGCCAGATGTGGGGCTTGATCCCAGGACCCTGGGATCATGACCTGAGCTGAAGGCAGAGGATTTAACCCACTGAGCCACCCAGGCGCCCCAAGAGGGAACATTCTAAGCTGGGGCTTCTTTGGCATGGAGTCCACAAGGTCACCGGCCCCCTCCAGAGATCTGTGGATAGAAATCCAGGGGGTCCTGACTTTAGATGGGATAAAAATTATACCTTTATTTTCACTAATTAACATTTAGCATGTTCTTCAACTATGAATGCAGTCAGCAAATTACAGTATTATTAGCAGCACCTGTGACACTGTTGCTTGTAGCAATCACAGATATTTTCATATCACACTATAGTTGTTACAACTATCTTA